ACCGATTGGAATAGATAGTTTGAACATTAAAAGTGGAGAATATTGGATCGGTGTATTGCAATGCGGATACTTAACACGATTTAAGACCTAGATTTTTTTATTTTGTGTACAATTTCTTATATTTTGCGATATTTAACTAATTGTTCTGTATGTAAAAGACTTTAAGTAATTTTGTGGGGGAGCTATGCTTCAATATTGGTTGGTCAATAAAATTGAGACTGCAATCTTTTTAAAAATATGTGAAGCGTTTCTTACGTGATTTCTAAATTCTGTGTGTAATGTATGGCCTAACTTTTCTTTGGATTATGTATATAAGAAAAGTGCGTGCAAATACCTTCGAACATTTCTTCATAAATAAAATAATCATCAAATTAACATTTCTGATTATCAGATAGTACATTTGGTTGATGGAAAACGATTCCGGACCACTGTGCGTTGGAGGGATCGCCGAAATGTCGACAGCACAGCTGCACTCCCACGACAAAATTCAAGATCTCATAATGGTAGGGGGCAGAGGCCAGGCACTGCCCAACAGTTGCATTACGAGTAAGGAAAAAAGAACATTAACTGCGAATCTTCCGAGCGATTGCCAGATCTGACTGTGCTCGCGTCTCCTAGCTGGCCAGGTCCAAATTGCATGCAGGAATTTATTATAAAGTTTTCACCATCACAATTTGTTTGCTCGAAGACTTGCCAGGCAAAATGAAAGAATTTCAATGTGCCAACAATGTTTGGTGTCGCAATCCACCAAGGAGGAGCTTGGCAATTTAAATAACTAAATAAATCTCTTGCAGCAGAACGAATTGGAAACATATCAATTGGTAATTATTTTGATAGTTCTCTCTCATCGTGGACTTGGTTGTCTTTTTGCATGCAAGGAGTGTAGAGGCTTCAAATATATTATAACATTTTTATTGGCATGCGAGTAAGTACTATTTACAGTATATGGCCGCACATTAAACAAAAAAATTAAAATTGAAAAGGCATCAAAACAGAAGTCCAAGGTTATTGCTGAACGATATTGTTGAAGCCGTATTTTAAACATACTATACATAGGTATTAAGCAGTAGAAGAAGAACAATTCTGTTTGAAAAGCTAGTTAAGAAGTCGTGCAGCTGCTAGTATTTAAATATTATAAAAATGATTGTACTATATAAGTGTGTACTTTATGCAACCCCTTTTGGACGGAACTGAAAAACTTCCCTGTCTAAGCTGCATACTCGTATCTGTATACCGTAGCACGAGATCCACCCACAGTTGACATAAATTCCCAAGGCACTCATCAACTACATAGTAAGTATAAGTAAAAAGAGACACTAACAACTAATTAACACTTCCATCAAGCTCCACGCCTACTGCAAGACGAAGCCCTCGACCCACCAGCCCACCAGCCCACCATCCCAACAGTCCGCCAGCCAGTCAACCCCTCCACCAATCCACAAGAGCGACTGAATTAATGAACGAATTAAGGTTTGCGTGACGACATGAAGTGAAGTCGACGTCATCGTCATCGTCATCGTGGACTGCCACCGCGGAGGCGCAACAGTTCCGTCGCGGCCGGCAGTGCCAGCCAGGCAGCAAACAAATGTCGTGCCAAAGAAATGCAATGCCTGCGCCTGGAACTGGAACTGGTTTTCCACTGGGTATGTTAAAAAGAGCGCAAAAAATGGACATAAATGTTTATGATACAGTAAGCGGATGATGCGACCGCAGACGACAACAACGACGATGATGGAAATCCAGCAGCAGCAGCAACAGCAACAGCAACAACAGCAGTAAACAAGCCAAGTGGAACGTGAACGTTATACACTATCCGTTTCTTCTTCTTTTTATGCATTTTTTTACATACATACATATATGTATATGGCAGAGGTAGCGCATTGTGCTCCCGTATCCGCGGAAACAGCTTCAGCAAAGAAAGTGAATTTCTACAGCTGATGGAAATCAAGCATACGAGTAACGGATGTGAATATGAGTTGGAAAAAGTATTGCAGATTTATGCATAACGCATAGGAGAAACTTTAAAATTATTCACTGTATCGAAAGCAGGGGGAAAACATCAGTGGTGTCAGGTGTTCTATTTCCATATGTCTGTGCTAATCCACGAAAAACTGATAGAAGACAAATTTTGCGACTGCTCGCTTAGCGTGAATTTTAACATGAGGTTGAGCCAAACGACCAAACTTCCATGCCGCAAGCCTTGGCGATGAAGAGATTCTTATCACCATGGAAGGCAGTCCATGTAGTGGCGAAGTTATCAGTATGAAATGGTCTGTAATAATATTCAGATTTATAAACAGTTAACCATAACTGAACTAAAGGAATTTCTGGAAATTTAATTTTTTGGTCCAGCGAATGTCCTTAGTAGTTGACGTTAGTTTTTTGAAATTCGCGTTTGATGCAGCGTCCAAATATCTATATATATGTATATATACATACGTCAAAATTCCAAAATTATAAATATGTACACGTATGTAAATATACGCAATTGAAAAATTATAAAAATCGTATTAATTAAGCTGTCTCCGGACGGCTGTAGACCGATTTGTTGCTCAGACATTTTTACATTTCATGTAAAAGCTGAAGAAAGTTTTTGGTATGAAGAGTAAGCTAATTTTAATAAAACTATAAATTTTTATTAAGACATTTTAAAACTGGTTAAAACAAAATTTAGTAATTTTTATACCCTGTACCCATAGTGTAAAAATGGTATATTAGGTTTGTGCAAAGTATGTAACATGCAGAAGGAAGCATCTCCGACCCCATAAAGTATATATATTCTGAATCAGCATGACGAGAGAAATCGATCTAGACATGTCCGTCCGTCCGTCCGTCCGTCTGGATGAATGCAAGGATCTCAGAAACTATAAAAGCTAGAATAACCAAAGTTGGCATCCAGATTCTCCTAGGTCCAAGAAAGGACGAGTTTATTTTTTTTTTAATTTCCCCCTTCCCCCGCTACTGAATTTCGTCAAACCAAACTTTGCCCACATCATGTATATATATTATCTACTGTTGTTTAATTTTATTCAATTCTGTCAATTCTAAGAAAAGTTATTAGCGAAACAAATTCTCTCCAGTACAACCCCCCCAAACTGGAGCAACAAGTTCGCTCTTCTTCTTCCTCTTTTTGCTGCTGCTATGGGCGCATATACCTCAGTGTCGAAAATTTACCTGGGTACAGGGTATTACACTGTCGGGCTTGCTCGACTGTAGCGTTCTCTCTTGTTCAATTTCGATTTATTCACATTTCTTCAAGCATTATGTATTTAGAGGTAACGGTATTTGAATATTAATAGTATAGACATCTTAGTCTTTTCTACTTAAATAAATACAAGTAAGATTGAGAAATATAAAAAGTTAAGCAACAATTGTGACAGTGAAAAGCGGAAAAAATTGTACAAAAAAATGTAGAAATTTATTCAAGTTATAGAATTCAGTTATAATACTACTTTTAATTTAGTTATAATAAGAGTGATTTTCGCCAACGATCCTATAGCAACAACAACATATATAGCATATAAGTCAAGGGATTAGGATTCAAAAGGATTGATATTTATACGAATATGCAAAAGACTGGCATGAGGGTCTTTATGCATTCCCCTTTAACTAGGGGATTACCACACCTACTTCTCTATGTTGCATCCATTTGAAATTTTTTTTATTCTCTATCCCTACACAATCAACATAGTTCATTGCATTTTATGGCCTCTGCTAGTGCAAATATCTGTTACCACAAGCTATCATGTGTAAATTTACATAGTACTTGTTTGCGGCTGTATTTACATACATATGTAGGAATGGGTATACATTCATACATATGTATGTACATTGTTTAACCAAGTTCATCCATCGATATTCATATGTCTGGCATATCGACCAGGTTTTACCTTTAAAATAAAAGTGGGCGGTTCCATGTCCCACATTTAAGAAATAGCCACTTAAAAAAGTCACTATTCATTAATTATGTGTCATATACGAACGAATTTCGGGACCTATTTATTTTGGAAAAAAACAAATTTGATACTTGCTGCGAAACCCAGGCCAACTCTTATATACCCTGTACCTACTCTTTATAAAAAAAAATTGTTTAAATTAACTATAATTTGATTATATTAATTATATTAAATATTCAATGCGTGTGTGTGATTCTCCACCTTTTAAATTTGTTTTATTTTTTTATTATTTAAGTATTTTAATTTGTTATTGTAATTAATTTGGCAAATAAAATTCCTCCACCGCGTCGGATTCGTTATTAGACATTTTTGTTATTCCTATAGGCTTTGTTTTTCTTTAGTTGTATGTAGTATAAGTTATGTACGGTTTTGATTTATTTTCTCACATCACTTTTTGGCGGTAATTGATATTGCATCCTCTCATTATAATGAGCCGCAAACATAAAAGTAAGACGGACCAATTAGCATTCAAATAAACCTGGACGATTTTTTATTAAAAAAAGGTGCAAGCCTTCGATCACTTTGAATTATTTGGGAATATTCGAAGTCATTTAAAATTTTAGTATTATATGATTCCACTCGAGTTTGTGTTGTAATAGGTGAATTATCCATAATTATTCTTTTTGCATTCCATGATATTTGCATACTATTCACAAACAATCATGAAACAAATCCATAAATGATTTACGTATACAGATTTAATAGAGATTTCTTCAATTAATGCTTAAACAAGTACCTATTTGTTTTGTATGTATGTAAATGTTAGAGCAATATTAAGCAATCGTCTACACACCAAGTTCCTATATACATACCTTCAAAATCTTTTCAGAAAGACAAAAGGTAGAACATAGTCATATCGACTATCGACTACATGCTGATCAATTAGAATATTTTTACACATAATACCCATCGTATATTTCCAACAATCTACTTATATTCCCTAGCCCTCTGGGTATTTACATTTTTTTGTAAATTTGTTTATTTCTTAATATCACAAACACTTTTACTCTTCGCAATTTATGTGCGTAACTTTGCTTAATTCTTGTCTGTAGTTAATATCCTTCAGTTGTTTTGTGGCACTTTCAACAGTCGCTGGAGCTGGACTTAATGCCCGCGTGTATATGATGGCCACAGCAGCTGAAAACAAGTATACAAGCCGAATGTGCAGAGAAATTCAAAGGATATATACCCACGATTATCCTTCGAGCATTGTATAACCACAACATAATTCTTGTAATCGACGCCGATGGCACGCATCAAGCCATCTGGCTTCGTTGCAACAAGAGGCAGCATGTGCAATACACGTTGCGTTACTAAAAATTGCTTGGACTGACAGTTTTCTTTTAAATAAGGCTCATAGCTTTCGGATTTCGCATATGTGAACCATCTCCCCGACAGCTGTGGGGAAAAACATTTAGGAATCACTTGACCATTTTAGGTGTAAGTATTATCATATTAACGGCATCCTTTTTAAGCGGCACACTCTTCACCGTAGAACATGACAGTTGTCCTTCAGTTGTAAGTAAGGAAAAGGCCAAGGTAGAAAATGTAAGTAAGCATATTTCTTGAGCACCCATGACGCTCGGAAACCTGGAATTCGACTAACAATAGTTGCAAAATTAATATTAAGTCATTAATATCTGAAACCGTGCGGAACAGATGCAATTAATGGCTTCATTTCCACTGCCCACGTAATTCAAGATACGTTTCCAATTTTAACGGAACTTATTGAAAAAAAAAAACAAAATTTTTCTGCAAACCCGATTTGCACTTCGCACGATCAAAAAGCATTTAAGATAATTAATTAATGATAAAAATGGAATTGTTTCCAATAATAGACTACAAATTTGAAATTCTTAGAGAAGTTTTATACTCTGTTTCCAAAGGGTATACTAGTGTAACATGAATGTATTTAACACCGAGAAGGCGTGGCACTCTCCACAAAATATATGTATTCTTAATCAATCTGACGAGGCGATGTAGCCAAGTCCGACTGGCGGTCCATTTATTCAGTAGTAGTATTATGTTCACCTCAGCATTCCATTCTTGTTCAATTGTTAAAGTTCTATGAAAATTTCAGAGATGCTACTCCCATTAATTTTGGGTGATCTTCGATGAATTTAGGCACAGGATTGGACGAAATCTGTGATGATTATTTTAAGTTCTTCCCCTTCCTTTTATTTTGAGTGGCAAAAGCAATCATCACCATAACTTTAAACAAATATTAATAATGCCTCTCTGTTTGTTTTATTTTCTAGTAGTAGTCTAGTACAAACTATCAATAATTGAAAGCACAACTAAAGGAGGAATGGCTCGTTGCTGCCACCTCAGATGGAAATTGAATGCGGTTCCACATTTCACACGTTGTTATATTTTTGACACGCCATTTCTTACTTCTTAAGATAAATAAATAATCACTTAACAAAGTTAAATACACATTTTTAAGACTAACAATTAAGGGAGGTATTGCGAAAGCAAGGGAGCGGGATTTATAAAATCTGATTTTCTCGGTTCTCGAGGGAAGCGAATGAGGCACAATAAATCGACGCATAGATTCTTGCAATCTAAAAGGAATACTGAGATATGAGCATACCTTGTCAAGACTATTAATACTTTGTGGTATTTTTCCCGCAAAACGAATAAAAAGAGGCTACTTAAGGAACCTAAACAGCATCACAGCCAAGATGGCACTTCAACTCAACGGCTTTTGTGCAACCTGCGATCAGTAGGCCTATGGCGTGTACACAGACTGCACTTTTTGGGATGCACAACGTGTTCATTTGACATGGCCATGGCCACACAGTTTCTGCTGCAGTCACACTCCACACACACTCACACACTGGTAGCACCATGACGCCAAATTCTGCAACTGCATAAGACTAATACACTATGTTTGGAAATAAGTAGGAGTACTACACATTTCAACACACAATGACCCAGCTGCCTTTTACGTATTCTAAATGCAGACTGTTTTTTGAACTGGTAGTGCAAAATGCGGCCAAATGACTGCACACTTACCCTTTGCTCAACTGTGTACAAAGTGCCAACGTCCATGGCTGTTCCGGACGGTTGTTCGATCCAACTGATATCGTTTTAATTTGCAAACGTATTATTTATAGCAGTTGGAGTCACATTTATTATTTATGACAAACTTAAATCCTTTACTTTTCTCATATTCTTCAGCACATCTCAAATTCACGAACATTTTTATTCACTTTTCCATCCCGACGCGTCGCGTAGGCCTCCAACCGGCTCCGGCAAAAGCTTAAACCAAACGCATGGAGCTCCGAAAGCAGTCTGCGCATGCGACACTGATATGTTGCAGGCTCAGGCTCCATGGAATGTTGCTTTCATGCAGCCAAGTTGCAGGCAACATGTTGGCATACTCAATAGGCATATGTATGTACATATACACGCATGTACATATGTATGTGTGTAAGTCTGTTGCATGATGTGCAGTTGTGTGGAAGTAGTATTTGCAGCCATCGAGCTTGAGTTGAAAATTTCTCTGGATGTTTGTCTTGTTGAAAATTTTTATTAGAACAAACCAACCCCGGATGGAATGTCATTTATATATTGTGCCATCTGTCAGGCCAATCTAAATCATTTTTTGCATTTACGTATTGTCGGTTATTGGATACAAAATTAGCATTCCCTGGCCTACAAAGATATGAGAAAATACAAAGCAATAAGGACTTCATAAAATATCAGTGTGAAAGGAGAATAAAAGCGATTGCTGATTTTTTAAAGCTCTCGCAATTCTAAGAAGTTTGTACCATGTTAATGCTTATTTGTCCCCATGTCAAGTTTGATCATGATAGGTCAATTGTAAAGGAAGTTGTTGCCATAAATCTAATCTCTGGCCATGCTCTTCCAGCAGCTGTGTTGCTTTTGTTGCTTTGATTGCAAAAAATTGTGGACACAAATCCGATGCAATTCACTTATTGGTACAACAATACTTAGATGTATTTAGAAATTAAAATAGTACTTGTATGTTTTTAAGAGCATATGTATGGTCTGTTTTACCCTTATTAAAAATGAGTATATGGCTATACTTTCGTTCAACTCTGATTGCACACAAAAGAATGAACATAAATTAACTGAAAATCTACAAATACATATATGTTTGAACATGTTTGAACATATGTTGGGCAGGATATTTGTGTTTTTCATTTTACAAATTTAATTGCTACTAAAACTTACAAGATTTGAACAAGGCACACCTGCACAAAATTCGCATATCATTATTGTTATTGTTCTACCCTGTACCTAAAAGCTACAAAAGTATTTAAGGTTTGAGGGAAGTTAAAAATATAGCAGACCGAATGACAAGGCGAGTCGATATAGCCCTACTCCCCTCAACTACATCCCATCAGTGCTTTTGTTTCTTCATGTTAAGTTTCATCAATAAATAAATGAAGGTTCGAAGTCGGCCACTCCTCCTTCTCTGTTACATACATTCACACAAACCAACTATATTCTTTTACCCCTTGGATACAGGTTATTAAAGTACATCTTTATAGTTGGATTTAAAATTTAAAGTTCATGTTTTCATTATTATTTTGATAACTAACTGGACCAAAAAGCAACACTACAAACTGAAGAACAAGACGTCTTTATAGCTACATACATACATATGTATGTGTTTTCACATTATCAGACTTTGATACCGACATACCGCGAATAACTGTCTAACCATCCCACAGCTGGTTAGCACAAAAGCTTTGCGCAGCTCAGAGTCTGTTGTGTATGTGTTGTTGACACAACAGTTATATTGCATATTCTTCGAACACTGGCCCATGTGGAGTATAAACAAACTAGGCATACGACTGTACAAATGCTCTTTACATATTGTTCAGTATGACCTTACAGCCCCAACAAACAAATCCACACATTGCAATATAGGAAAATACAAATTATGACGTAGTGTCTAGATATTACGCTAGAACCTTCACAAATACCTTTTTATTTATTTATTTTATTTATTTATATTTATGTCAACAAACATTGACTGTCGACATAGGTAAACTATATATACGCAAAAATTATATATAAAAAAACCGTATAAGCTAGGAAAGCCTGAGTAGGAGAAATCTAATGAAATCACAATAGTATCTAGTAAAACGCCTCCGATCGATTTTGAGCTTATAATCATCTTCTTTTAAAACTATAACATTCCAAAACTATCTTGTTCGTCACCTCTCCTTTTAAGGGATTGTTATTGTCGAATAATGTTGAGTAATCTCCGTATGTGTAAAAACAAGAATATATCCGCCAAGGGCGTAGGCAGCTTTTACCAAAGGGGGGGCCAAAATATTATAATTTTAATTAAATAATGCACGATGCATTTAAAAAATAACTAACGCGTATGATCAATGAAAAAACTTCAACAATTCCCACTCAGATCCATTTTAAGGCGAAATAATGCGTCATAATAAAAAACGTGTGGTCGACTTTATGTGGCAACATTTTTTCTAGGGGTGGCAACGGCCCCCCTCCTGCCAAGGCCCTTGATATCCGCTGATGCAAACAGCGTGAGCCTACACAGCATTAAATTAAAAATATCCGCTTCAGACATCTATCTTCTATCGTTCTTATGCAATTTGTTTCAGCTTTCCACGCGTTTTCCCCAACCATCCATAATTTGGTGTCTCCGTACCAGCAATTCATATGATGACAATACATATGTATGGGACAAGTACCAAGAATCTATGTAAATGAAATTTAAAATTGCGCTTCAACTAAGTAATACAGATCTATATTCGAATTAAAGCTGTGCCAAATAAATAGTTGATACGTACATATGTATATAAATATGCAATACGGACTATAGGATTATATGGATAGGAAATAAGTTAATAACAATATTCCAATTTTATCGGCGAATTTTATGAGTATTATTTGTTTGGACCGTATGAGTAGGATTAACCTCTCCCATCATAGAAAATGTTGTAAACAAGAATTAAGAAATAAGTTTTAACTATAAGCTAGAATTGAATAAATAAATAAACTTTATATGAAATTACCCCGCCATTACAAAAGGAAGCTTTTTTCAACAATGTAACCGTTTTTCTTACTGCTTCTATTCTTGATGCTCACAATTAAAATGCGATCTTTGACCTCTTAGCTTGGCGCCTATATACTACATTTGTCTTTAAACTTGTTTACATTTTTATTTTCCTTTTCCAGTTCTTATCAGCTGTTTGAGCTCTCAACGTGCAATGCAATGCGAGACGAGCTTTTGAACAACAGTGGAGCTTTCGCGCAATTACGGGAATCATAAAAAGCTCATTTAATTCAATAGTGGGTAACTGGCATTTGTTTGAAGCGGACACGCTTGCGGCGTGTTTTCGGTACTCCCTCGCGTTCGAATTTCTATTAATTTCCTTTTTAAGTTTCGTACTACATCGCCAAATTAAACGAGCATCAGTAAACTGTGAAAAGGCAAAAATTGCCGAGCAACACGCGACACTTGAGACGTCATTCTTGTTGTAGTTGTGTGCGTAGTCCTATGGTGACAGCAAAACGCCGGCTCCTTTTGACCGGCACTTCCACGGAAGTTAACGTAATTAGTGAGAAATCTGTGTGCCGCCAACATTTTGAGCCACAAAGCATTGGTGCGACCGTCCAATATTTTCGACATTTACCTCAAGTGCTATTGGCTACTAGAAAAAATTAATTAATAAGCAACAGCGACTACTGCGACATCATCGACATCCGCGGAACATCTGTACTTTTCCCTATTTTTTACTCGGTAATTGGATTCAAGTGCTTCTATCTGGATTGCATAAAAGCTTTTGTTTCGCTAAGAGCGGTTTCAATACTCGATGGCGTTTCAAAGGCTTGCATTTTCATTTAAAGCACGTTATTCTTTATGTCTTTATGGTTACGCTTACACTCTGTCCTTATTATGAGTTGTGTCGCATGTACACATGTAAATGTATGTACATATGTATGTATGTACATATGTATGTATGTACAAACATTCATCAACAACCCTCTGTACACACAAGTACCCGTAGCTTTTGGGTCACTTCTCCTGCTGCTCCTGCCAGCTTGTTTTGTTGTGTTATGGTTTTCCCCTCCCGGTTTCTTCCTGGGCCACTCGCACTCTAATTTTTTAACCTGTGTACTCACATACATATATGCATATTTATGTTTCTACTATAAGTATAATCGTTCATGGTCTTTGCGGTTGGTTGTTTCTTTCAAATGTGTACTGTAATTTCAAAGCTTAACAATTCCTGTATAATATATGCATGTGTAAATGTAGTATGTATTATTTACATACATACATATATATGTATGTTTGTACGTAGATTTGTTTGTGAGAGTCGCGTGCTAAACTCGTGTATCCCCAACACTTGTTTGTATGTATATGAATGTATGTTTGTACATATGTACATACATATATTATGAACATATGCAAACATCCATGCTGGACGTGCAGCTTTTGTTGTTGTTCCTGCTGTAGACAAGTACACTTACAGATATTTATGTACATATATGTATATGTATGTTTGTATGTACATACATATACACTTTAAATGTATACATATCTTTTAAATATGTGTATCTAAACGAGTCGAATGCTAAAGTTGCATGCGGCCTACTTTTTTTTTATCCTGTACTCAGCTTTGTACTTAATTTAGGTGAATGTTTGAAAAAAAATTTACAACTGTCAGTTAAAAAAAAATAAAAATAATAACTCGGCGTGGATGTTTAGATAATCTGAAGATTGTAGAATAAAAGCATTCTAATTGATAAATAGAAAAACTACAATTTCAAAAGTTTATTACTACGTACATACTTATATACATACTTATGTATGTAGTATGTAACAGTCTGCATGCCAAGTTGGTTGACTCTACGCCTTGTACTGTCGAAGATCCTTGTCTTTTACAGACAGACGGACGGACAGAGAAAGACATCATGCTGATCAAGTTACATAAACTGAGTGACTTCATAATAACCTCCTCCACTTGGGATACGAAGTACAACAATTGGTTTTAAGTAGTTATATTTACATGTGTGCATATAATAATAGAGTGTGCACGACTTTAACTTTAAAAAGTACTTTGAAACTGTTTCTCTGAGTACACAGCCCCCATTTATATGACGCTACCTAATGGGTCACATAATTCGAGTATATAGTACATACTCGTACAAACATACCTATGTATTTAACCTAACCTAACGCAATCTGAAATGACAATGTACAAGTAGAATAGTATTGCATGTGTATGAATGTATGTAAGTATGTATGTATGTATGTATGCATATAAACAGTATACACAATACGGCACCGTTTAAAGTCATTCGATTTTAAATTGTGCGATCATCAGATGTTTGCAACTGAGTCGAACTGGGGTCGCTGCTTTTCAGCTGATACTCGTCTACCACAAATTAGTCGCTAGCTAAAAATTGCTGCAGTTAATGACTTTGAACTTACAATGGAATGTCTTTTTAAAAGGTGCTACTCCTATGTACTTATGTATGTACATACATATTTGCTGGACTGGAACTTATTTGTGCTCGGCTTGACATAACACTATAATTGTTTGGGTTTGTTTTATAAGAATCATGCCATAGTCTTATCACCATGTTGAACATATGTATGTACATACATATGAATGCATGTATGTATGCACGTTTCGTTATTTAAATTCCACAGCACATATGGAGTGCGTCAGTTAGATGATTCCCGCAAATGATTATTGTTGGGAGGGGGACCGGAACGGTGGCTGGGTTACTGAAACCTTAAGTGGTTTATTAGAACCGGCGCGAGTTAAGCTTTTGTTTATTCAATTTCACTTGGGCATGATGCGATTACGTTTTCATTTTGTAATCGAAATCAAATTTCAGACATTATCAATTGAGCCCAATCGTTAATTAAAACCACTCGCATGTCCTAACTCAAAATGTTTTCCTTAATGTAACGCTATCTCTACATGTATTTGATCTTTCATTATTCTCGATAAAAAATAATACTTCATTGAGTACGTAAAACAATAGTGTGCGTAATATACGTTGTTATTGTAGGAACGAAAACAAAGCTATTAAAATATGGGCTGTCCATCATGGTCATTAAACAGGTCGTTTATACTCAATTGGGAAATGGAAGCTCGAAAATCACATTTTTTATCAGCAAGCAAATACTGGGTGGCTTCGATTACAATCAGCGTAACTGTTTACCACCTGAATACCTTTTGGCAAACTTTTCGCATTCCTCACTCACACCTTTGTAATTTATTTCGTTTGGTATTCATATTCAATTGACAAATTGCTATATTATCTGGGCAGAAGAACTATTGATTGAGCAATGTATATAGATAGATGCCGACACAAAAAGTGAAATTATTTCTTATTATGGTATAATCTAAATTTAATCTATATTTGATTCAACCACCAATTAACTTACTGTTTAGTTTCCAAGCAAACAAATAAACAACCATTTTTATTATTATCGCTTATAATCGTAGAAGCAATTTAAGATTAAGCCAGTTCATTGTTCGTGTTTACAGAACTTTAACCGATTAATGTTCAAACTTTAATCTCAATAAATTGTTGAAGTGACCAAAAATGTTTGAGCACCTATTGACGTTTATATTATGTACATACGTAAATATACTTTTGATATACTTGGAAACAAGCAACCACTCACGAAGAACTTTTAACTAACTATAGTGATTGTTGTTGACGGGTCAATGTAATCATGAACTTTTTGCGACTCTGTCATATATCTTATTTAAGAGTCAGAGCGAAGCTATCGCGTGCATTACGTTTAGAAAAGTTAAATAACTTTTTAGCACAAATGTACAAAGTCGACAGATCAGGTATTAAAAATTCTATTAATAAATCAAAACCCTTTTATAATATACGTTTATGCGTTGATGTCTGTGTATAGAGGAGGAGGGTTTAATGGCTCGATTTAGCTTCTTTCAAAAACTGCAAGCTTGATTATCAAGTGTTTTAATTCAAGCTGTTTTAATTTCCAAATTCCTTGCGGTTATACAGAAATACATATTTTCACAAACAAATTTGAAACAAATATACAAAAGAGAGGGTTTATTTTAAACGCTGAAAGAGATACATTGTTTTGGAGTGTATGTGAGGAGAATGGACCATATATGATCCGCATAAAGAGACTAATAGATGAAGGCACTATAGATAAAGTAATTTTAAAAAAATCGAGGAACGAAATTAAAGACCTTAGTAGAAAAGTATATAAAAAGTAGTAAGTACTTATAGAAGCTGTGACGCAGCCAATGATAACTTTTTAGCTTGGATGTATTTAAGAAATTTGTGGATCAAAGACAATTCTACTCGTAATAAGATCCGCTTACATTAATCGGAAGCTTGAAGCTTGTACTTAATAATGCCAAGGCCATATGATCCGGATGTGCAATTAAGTTTTGGTTAAAGAAAAATTCAATAACTGTTTGCGCTTGAATGCTACAACTAAGCGGTATTTTCTGTTGCGGAAAGTCATATAAGCAATTAGTTGTTCCTATAGAAAATCCAAAAATCATTAGCATTGGTACAATATTTAGAATTTACCGCCTCGTTACTCCTACAATATTTGCTGTATATATATTATTCAGGGTATTCATACAGTCGTGCAATTTTCTAATAAATTAAAAACTATGTGCAAATGATGTGAGGAAAGCGTTTTACTTAAAGATTTTGCTAAATTCGATGTGACGAAAGCCGTGACAATCGTTTTTAATGGTATTGTTATAGTTGTGACCAAAGAAGGTGGAAAGCACGGCTTAATGTGTTTGTTGAGTCTAAATAGATTCGCTATACTTAGATTACGTATGTATATTTACGAGTATATATTGAAAAATAAAATGCAGCTCAATCATTTTGCAGATTTTTTAAAGCAATTCAATTCTGTGTGAGCAAGAAATAAAATACCATAATAAATACACTTAGATCAAAAATACGAGTTTCGTTCTAAAATCAAGGTCTATCAGCGTGATTAGTGAAGTATGTGCGAAAATACTTGCGTTAAGCAGAAAATTGTGAATTTAAACCGATACAAAATCCTCTGTTAAAACATTTTTCTATTTAATAAGCCTTGAGTTTAAGATGGCTCGAGTCAAGTAAAAAGTTTTTATCCCTTTTAAAGGATATATTTCGTTTTGTTTGATATTTATATTATCCAGAAGAACACGTGGTAGAAACCACGTCATAGGATCATTAATTAGCATATCGTGCCGAATCGGTATAATGTGAAAACCAGTCGTTTCGGATCATACAACTGTCGTAGGAGCGCGGCGCTACAAATGACGTATATAATATCATAATAGGCGTAAACAGCAGTAAAATTATGAATCTGTGTTTTTGGACTCATCAAGAAACGATGGCAAACGGTCCAAAAACAATATTGGCGTTGAATAGTCAATAGTATATAAAATTCTATAAAAAACAATACATTATCGATCGTCCCCTGTGTGACAGTTGAAGAAAAAGATAGAAAACACTTTCTGGACACAATGCTTATGTGATCTCAGTGAGCTCCTGCTTATCCCTCTGGGCGTTCAACAAACACACACACACACACATATATGTACATACATTTAGAATACACTTTTTTTTACGTATTTGGCTCGCATTCGCTGGTCGATCAATTTGCGAAAAAACATCTCAACACTCTATTGCAGCAGAAAGTAAACTAACAATGCTTTCATGTTCTAGAAACCCGAAGCTATGGCCTGCTGCGAAGTAATAGGCCTTGCCTGCGTGATTGCCCTCATTACGAGCTTCTCCATAAAGGCGCCCTACCATGTGCGCATGATGTTCATATTCTTTGGGGCTGGCGCAGTTGTAATGCTCTGTGTGCCGTTTATGATCCTGAGACCGCGGGATTACCGCAACGCGCTGTAAGTTTCCAGATTTTCGAATGTGGATCTTTGCAATATTCATTATTTTTGCTTTTAGTGTGCCAGCCTGGTGCTTCCGTCAGCTGTGCAGGCTTGTGGGCATTACTATGGAGGTACGTGGACTGGAGAATGTGCGAAAGGATCATGGAAGCGTGGTGCTGATGAACCACCAGAGCGCACTGGACTTGTGTGTGTTAGCATACCTGTGGTAAGGGGAGTTTTTATTTAATTGGTATTTCTTTTAATTTGCTTATCCTTTTCATTTTGCTATTTCATCAATGCCAATTGGGACCTCGTTGGAATCCTTAAATTGTGAATGTGAATTTTCCCAGGCCTGTTATTGGACGAGCCACTGTTGTGTCCAAAAGGGAAATCCTGTATATACCGTTTTTCGGGCTTGGTGCCTGGCTCTGGGGTACTCTGTACATAAATCGCTCAAGCAAAACAGATTCCATAAATTCACTGCAGAAGGAGGCAATAGCGATACGTGAACGCAATTGCAAGATTCTGCTGTTTCCCGAGGGGACACGGAACAACAAGGATACGCTGCTGCCTTTCAAGAAAGGCTCCTTTCACATTGCACTGCAATCCAAATGCACGATACAACCAGTTGTTATATCAAAATATATTTTCACCGATCCAGGCAAAAACAATTTCCGACCAGGCCATGCCTTAATACACATACTGCCGGAGATATCCACCAAAAATTATGAAAAAGAGGATATGGTTCAGCTCATCGACGATTGTCGTTCAGTCATGCAATCGGAATATACGAAACTAAGTAAAGAAGCTCAGGCCTTAAAATCGAAGAAACTAACATAGAAGTTAGGTGAGGAAATGAAATACCTCAAATTTTACAAATTTTACACACAAAAAAGGACAACGGCCCATCGTTTCTATTAATAGGAATGTCGTTGGTTTTTTGTATTGTAAAAAGCGTGCTTTTTCTAAATTTGCGATATACCATTAACTATTTAAATAAATATATTTATGTCTAATTTTTAATTAAACAAAATGCCTGGTAGATAAATTAAAATACCTATAATAGGACTTATTTTATGAAAGAAAGCTTAGACTAACAGACAATTAAAGTTGACTTTTTAGAATAAAGCATAGAGGTGTGATTTATCACACTAAGATATATTTAGGTGAAATCCATTCGAGTTTTTACAATTAAAACCTGTTACTTATTACCGGGTACATGCACATGCACCAAAATGTTTGAATTTGTATATACTATATTGGAGAGTTATATAATTGCAAAATAAAAACCGCAAATATTACACAATAGGTCTTGGTTGATTTTTTTTAAATGTTAAAATAAACTCCACCCCGCCCCCCTGTTGAACACAAAAACCGAAGCTTATTATAAGATCTAAAGTCACGAAGCTTGGTGTCCAAGTTGTGAGACGTGGTATCTGCCGGATAGTAAGTCTTCCCCCACCGGGTCTGAGATTCCATTTTTTATTTTTGACCCTAATTTGTTTTATTTTTAAAAGTAGGTTTTAACTAATTTTAAGCTTACTTTCTCTGTCCAGTTTTAAATGTTCCCTTACCGAGTCGGAAGCGTTTATAGATATTGTAATTCCAGCTTATAAAACGTCTTTATAACTTTCCTTATGTCAACAGTCAATTTTTATTAACATAAAAATATAATAAATAAATAAAAAGTTAATTTTATATAAACAAGAAGATAATGCACTAACGGGAAGCAATTATCAAATTGGAATATACCTTCCTAGAATTACAGAAGTTGTGGAAAACTTTCTCAGGTGGACAATATGGCCACTAATTTGTTTGCATAATTTATACTTTCCTTTATACAGGCACCAAGTGGACATACGGACATGGCTATACACATAATTCTTTTTATACCCTGTACCCGTAGGGTAAAAAGGGTATATTAGGTTTGTGCAAAGTATGTAACATGCAGAAGGAAGCATCTCCGACCCCATAAAGTATATATATTCTGAATCAGCATGACGAGAGAAATCGATCTAGACATGTCCGTCCGTCTGGATGAACGCAAGGATCTCAGAAACTATAAAAGCTAGAATAACCAAAGTTGGCATCCAGATTATCCTAGGTCCGAGTAAGGACGAGTTTATTTTATTTTTTGGATAATTTCCCCCCTTCCCCCGCTACAGAATTTTGTCAATAGCGTCCACATTTCAAATGCTACCTAAACTAAACTTTGCACACATAATTTATATATAATTGTCTACTGTTGTTCAATTCGGTAAATTCTTAGAAAAGATATTACCAAAACAAATTCTCGCCAGTACAACCCCCACAAACTGCAGCAACAAGTTCGTTCTTCTTCTTCCTTTTTTTGCTGCTGCTATGGGCGCATATAACTCAGTGACGGAAGTTTACCTGGGTACAGGGTATTACACTGTAGGGCTTGCTCGACTGTAGCGTTCTCTCTTGTTTTTACAAGGTCTTCTTTTACACGGTTGTAAATAAAAAAATTTATATATGGTTACACCACATTATTCCATTTAGCACGATTTAAAATATCATATGATCAATGTCTTTTTTAGACCGTTTTCTTTCACACGACTTTTTCTGGAACGAATCTACCGTGTAAAAACAGAATTAGGTGTATTGACTCACTTGGTCTCTTGGGTCTGCCATGCCTCCTTCTATTTCTTACATACATACATATTTTTTTCGGTAGGTGTGCGTATAGGGTATTTAATATAATAATATAGTATCATCATTGTCCATTTTATATATAGGAGTATAGACTTTGGCGTTTAGACTTTGTAGTATACTCTTCCAACCTAGGGTATAAGAATCGAAAAACATCATGCATCATGCTAAAAAATAATCGATATATCGATGCTTCTCACATCGCTAAGCTGCAAGTTGGTGTTTGTTAATGCAGGTCAATTGGCGGCGATGGAGAGCCACAGGAGCACAGAAAATAGTGACGATCCACGAGCTGGAGCCGTGGAACTAGCACGAACGGAGAAACTGTATGATTTGGAAAGACTACTTACCTTTGGCGATGTACCATTTATTATAAAACGAGTGGAGCCAGAAGATTTTACTGTTAGTTACTCTGAAGTTGTGAGCAATATAAAAATGCTACTATTGACATTACGGAATCAAGTCCCAAGCGGTACTGGAATAGCATTTCGGATTTCACACCATACACCATCATCGTGCATTTTAATCTTAGCGTAAGTATGTAGAGATTTCTGGGAACAAAACCGCGGTTTAAATAGCTTTTAACAGCATTCTCAATCACAAGTGCCACTTCTTTGCAACGGACAAGATGATACTCTCCAAGAAATTGAAAGTACAACTATGCCGCGCTGGAATTGACTTTCTGATTGTCTGTGGTCACATGATAATGGGATCCGAATACTTTGAGCTCAAGGACACCTTTCTGATATTAAATGAGGAATACAAGTTGTTTAAGCTTAAACGCGGTGACGCCGAGGATCAAAATTTAATCTCACTGCCGGCAAACATGTGTTACACTATTACAACAACAGGCACGATTACTCCTTATTTTAATAGTTTAAACAGCTTTCCTAATCATTTTTAATCCAACCACTTTCAGGCACCACCAATGAGCCAAAGCTGATACACGTACCCTACGACTGCATTGCACCTAATATATTGGCGCTCAGGTTCGTGTCTGCAAATGCTAGGCATATTTAACCCTAGCTTACGTATGTTTTACAGTAAAAAGCTGAACGTGTCTATGGCTGACATAATTTATCTGGGCACACCGTGCACTTTTGATCCCTTTGTTGTGGAGTTTTTCCTGGCTCTGCAGAATGGGGCCGCTGTTTTTCTCAGTCCCTATTCAATGCGTGAATCGCCAACTCGGCTGCTCGAAGCACTACTTCCTTTAAACGTGACCGCGCCGGGTATTACTATTTTGCAGGCAACGCCATCATTGTTTCGTATGTTTGGCGCCGCCGCCATTCGGGATCGTATCCTAAACACCGGCACTACCTTAAGGTAGGTAGGTGCATGCATATCGTAGGAACAACCATCTACAATTACTTCCAAGAGTGCTACTTCTAGGTGGAGAACCTTTCCCATGCTACGAGGAACTCAAAAACTGGATGGACTCTAAAGTGGTTGCGCAAAAGCTTGTTTGCAATATATATGGCATTACGGAGATTTCCTGCTGGAGCAACTTGCATATACTGCAGTCGCTGGAAGCCCGTGTACCTCTAGGCTTGCCCATTGATTCTGACACCGTGCTTCGAATAGTTGACAAGCAAGGACGTGAGCTGCAAGGCGAGTGTTCGGGTGAACTGATGATAGGCAGTTCAACTCGGCGTTGTTACATACCTGAGACTGATGGGCAAGATAAAGCAGACTGCAGCACCTGTTGCTTCCGGGCAACTGGGGATTACGTGCACCGCTATGATGATGGTTCGATATGCTATGAAGATCGCACAAATGATGTGGTTAAGCGTATAGGCAAACGCATTAGTTTGGGTGAGTATTTGTAGAAGCCTTATTAAACGAAAGAGTCCAGTGCACTACGATGCGATTTAGTAATATGTACATAGAAATAATAGTTACATGTACGTAAATGATCAACTGAACAAAATTAATTGTTAATTTTAAGAATGATTGTCATTTGTAATTAGTTGTATTACAAGTATTATTGTGTTATCGTTCTCGCATGAGTTTCTTAATTACTTTTTAAGTACACATATATAAGTATTTTTAAAAATATACTTTTTATGTTTTACTTTTTCAGGGTTAATCAGTCGCAAAATACAAAAGTACTTAGATCACCAGGATTTGGCAGTCTGCTTGTGGCAACAAGATTTGCAAAAGCTTATATGTTGCATACGCACCGGAGAACTCAAGACAAAACTGCAGCAGCGCGTACAAACCCACAATATTCTATCCAAGCTTATGGCTTCAGAACAGCCAGATAGATTTGTTTATGTCCAGCAATTTCCTTGTAATACACATGGCAAACTGGATCGCAAGGCATTGCTCAATGAATGCGTACCACTGATGCAGCCTGCACAGAAGATATTGAAATCATTCCTGCACGATACCCTCAAGTATATGGGTCCAACGAAAGGAGGCAAGCACCCAAAGCATAAGAAACGGGAGCCACCCCATCTCGGATATGATATAAGTTTCCGTCAGGCGGGCGGAACTTCATTTCATGCCGTTACCTTGTCCCGTGAAATTGGGCTCCAAATGTGTGTCGACGATGAACAGCGTCATTTGTTTGAACAGCTACTAGACGACTCCGTTAGTATTCGTGAGGTGCTATGCTTTTTGGACAAAGTCAAAATAGTCTCTCACCATACGAAGCTGAAACCCATCGAGTCGGAAAGTACTACTGGTAGTAGCTGCTCCAACAAGCTTTCAATTACACGCATGGAATCGTCAGCGTTCAACTTAAAAGTGCAGTGGAAGGTGAACTTCAAAAAATGTGTGGACTCAGCCGTTGCTCAGTGGGATGATCGGTATATTTGTGTTGGTGCCCATTCAAAGCTGCTGTGTACGTTGGATGCACTCAGTGGTGCAGTAATTAGCAGCATTCGATTGCCCGATCGCATTGAATGCAAGGTGCGTTTTGTTAACGAACATCTAGCTATGGTGGGCTGCTATGATGGATATATCTATGGCTTTCAACCGCTGACGGGGGAGTTCTTGTGGAGCGTGGAGATCGGCGGTATGATTAAAGCACAACCACTTCTCACAGCTGATAAAACCCGCATAGTGGTGTGTAGCTATGCCAATGACTACAATGTCATGTGCTTGTCAGCAGATCGGCAATGTTTCCTTTGGTGCCTGCGTATTGGTGAGAAGCCAATTATTGCTGCACCTCTGGAGTTGCCCCTTAAGAAATCCCTAATAATTTGCACCCTCGACGGAACCTATGCCTGTATTGCTAGCGAAAACGGCAAGGTGCAATGGAAGGAAAAGTGTAAGGAGCCCTTCTTTGCTACACCAGTGCTGCTCGAGGACTGTCCTAACATTTTCCTGTGCGCCGAGGTGGCGGGGCGAGTACATGCCTGCGACACAAACAGTGGAAAAATTGTACGTATATTTTGCAAAATTGAAAACATTTAGAAGATGTAAAATCCAACAGCAACCACTTTACATATTACCCCAAGGTTATACTAGCTTGGTGCACATGTAACATACAGAATGAAACGTTGCAAACCCTCCCTCCGTCCGTATGAATGCGAGGATCTCTAAACGTATAAGAGATCAAAATTTCCAAACTTGGTATTGTTATTCCCCTAAGCCCTACGCTGTATAGACACATACCCAATTCAATTATACAATTTTAAATTTAAAAATGGAATGAAACGTTAATTCTTAACCTTTTTTTAAAGTTTGGGTAAGGTGTTTTGAATAGTTGATTTCACTTAATCATTCCATTGTTAAATCTGTTTAATTTTCGGATTTATCAAATACATTTTCTATTTAATCTAACATTCTCCACATTTGCAGTTGGCTAGCTACTCAGCAGGAGGTAACATCTTTTCGTCCTTGTTAGTCAAAGCGCCGGCAACACATTTGGATCACGCTTTTGTCCTATTTGGCTGCATCGACCAATTTCTGTACTGTCTGGAATGCAAGACGCACACAAGCGATCCAGCGGTCGAATTCGGATTGCGCTGGAAACTTGATGTTGGTGCTGCTATCTATGGCACGCCCACATTGCTTACACTGCAGCCGCTCTGCTTTTTGGTCTGCTGCTGCGCCACCGATGGACGCATCGTATTGGCGAATCTGAGCACAGGTCAAGTTCAGTACTCGGAGAAGTTGCCAGGCCAAATATTCAGCACGCCCTGTCATATTGAGGGTCAACAGTGGATTTATGTTGGTTGCCGTGATAACTTTTTGTACTGTCTGCGTACATAGACATGTTAATACCAAACTCGATCGTAAATATATGGACTTCTGAAGTTTTATACGTCTCTCTTACATTTCAGGTGTTATTTATTTGAAGCATGTACGAGTATGTATGTGTTTTGAAAATGAATAACTGTGTAAGGCATTATTTAAGCCTATCCAATAAATTTCTGTTCTATATTTTCAAAATGTGCAACAAGGTTTTATAAATTATAGATTAGTAAATAATTGAGCCAAAGCAGCAACAACACTTTTGGCTATAACTTCCTTCACATTTGACCTATAATGATGAAACTTAACATGAGGACTAAAATAATGTAATTGCCAAATTTGAAAAATTTAATTTAGAATTACGGGAGTTATGGAGCAGAAGGAAAACAATCTTAATCTGCATAACGCTTAGGGGACCCCAGAACTCGATCATTGAAATAAGAATGGGCAGTTCTTCCATTGATCTGCTCTTTATGAAGATATAATTTACCTCAATTCATTGATGGCTGGACTGTAGCCATTCTAGAGTATAGAAATTGAAGTTAACTAAAGAAAAAACAATTTTCTTATAATAAATTTCATTTATTTAATTACAATGATATAATGCAATTCAATTTGTGGTGTCTCTCAAAGCTGCTTTCTTAAAAACCTCCACTGCTTTGGCTCTATTTCGACTTATTTCTTCCAAATCACGTTGGCGCTGCGGTATTATTTCCTCGGTCGTTGGTAAACGTGGACATTTGGATGGCTTTGTGCTACTTGCGGCTTCTGTCGCTTCCTCTTCAGCTATGTTTGAGGACTCACGTTTACTATGCTTGCGGCGTGTTGCCTTGGACTTGGAAGCACTCTTGTTGACAGTCTCAGTTTCAACTGCCTCCCCGACAGAGTTTTGCATTTGTTTCTTTCGGGCTGCTTTTTTGGGTTTTTCTGGCGTCTCGGCACAAATTTTACCCGACATCTTGTCAATAGCCGTTTGCACCCGCTTGCTCACCTTGGGTTGTTGCACTCGAAGAGCACTTTTTGCTGTAAAATAATTGCGTATGGAGCTCTGCAGTTTCTTCTCATTGATTTTTTTCATGACCGGCATGAGTATATCATCAGTTTTACTTGTTGTCCAGCCAAATGTTTTGCGAGTGAATTCACGTATTGATTCAACATCGGGAGAACCCCAGCTGAACATATCCCGATTGTCGTCCACCTTCGGTGTAAGATAGGCCTCCACTACCTAAGATATAACAGATTCAACCAAAAATTGATTAAAACCCCAAATGTTGTAAAATAAAAAGAATGAATACACTTTTATCAATATCATATGTGAACATTGAAATAAAATTGATATTTTCACATTTGTCAAGAAGAAAAATACATCAGATAGTGTACAAACTTACCGCTGCGCTTGGAAAATCTTCGTGCATTTCAATATTCTTGAGCTTTTTACGTAGGGAGAGGCGTGCCGAGCTCCCCGGCTGCTTTTGAGCCTGCCACCAATCGCGAAATTTGTTTAGGGTCGAAAGTACCGACTGAACATCATTGGAGGCGGCTATAGTATCCCCACCAATTGGTGCCCCTGAGCTGCTTGAGAACGATGCAAGTATTTCCATAGCGGTAACAGCACCAATGCCGTGTATGCCTTAAAGAAGATTAGTTATATCTTCGAATGCCAGAGAAGCCAACTAACAACTTATCCTACCCGTTGTGTAATCGCTACCCACCAAGCACGCCAACTGTATGAGCTTGTTTCGATTGCAGTTAAAGATTTGTTCAATCTGATCCGCGCGAAACTCTAAAACATGCTTATGCTGGGCAAAAAAGTTCTTATAAACTGTTCGACCGCCAAATAACCAAATATCACTGTCATCCGTTATGGTTCCATTCGTTAATTCAACAGCGTTAAGAAATGCGCATTGAGCCTCCGCCTCCATAGGCGCAACTATGTATGGTATGCCGAATAGATGCAGGAGCTCTTGGCAATCTACAACCATCCGCTGCCCAATGGACATGCCCATGCGATCTTGACGATTCCGCTCAGTCTCTAATTTGCGCCGTTCCTGCGCCAATGTGTTAGCCATTGACTGCAATTCTTCTGCAGTGTTTTGCGATTTTAACGCTTCAGCAGCGTCTTGGAGCAGATCCTTTAAAAATTGAAAAACGTTTTATATGATTAAGAAATATATTTCTGAGTATAAGAATCTATTTAAGTAGAAAGAAAATTACGGTAAAGCACAATAAAAAAGAGGGAAAGCGAACTGGAATAGAAGCCAACTCTGTTCGAGTACTGTGGGGTCTCAATTATATAATAAAAATTTGAATGGATGTATTATAAATATATCACTATTTTTTATATTTTTATTTATTTTGTAAGCTAAGTCTGATGCAACAGACAGAAGGAAAGGGGTAGACCCCATGTTATTACGATCAGTATGACGAGAAGAAACTTTTGGAAACTAGAGACACCAAACTTGGGAACTTTTGTAAGTTTAAGTCTACTATAATCTGAAGTTTCGTACAAATCTTTTAGTTGATATTTAACTTACCATCGTATTCAGCGGTGTCGTAGGATCCAATTCTTCAGCGTCATGGAATAGGGATTTTGAAGCTTTGCTGCATTTTTTTGGTGGTGAGGCGGCTTCATCGCTGTGCTCTTCGGCAGCACGTTTACGTCCGGACGATTTAGGCGTTCGCTTAACAAAAAATGGTTTAGTAACTTTGGGAGTTGTAGGTGGAGATGTGTTTGCAGATGTACATTTATCGGGAGTTCGCTTTATCAAATACTTCGTTTCAAAATATTCACTAATTGATTTATTTTTTGGTGGTGTATTGATTGTTGTGGCGTTGCGAGTTTTTTGATTATCATCGCTATCAATGAGTTCAATAATTTCAGCATTGTGGGAACTGCCTTCTCCGCTCGCAAGTTCTGTGTCTTCGTCTGAAGAAATATTGATTATAGTTTTATGAGGTGGTTGAATAGCTTCTTGTTGGATATTTTTAACCTCGCCGGTCTTTCGCTTAATCTCATCGAGAATGGAGCTCAGTTCGTTGGCCGTTGAATCTGATTTCTGTTCGGTCAAGTCGACCAATGTTATATTTTTAACCTCATCGGTTTGCCTTTTTAAGTCAGCAAGTATGAGAGCGATATTGTTAGGTTTCGCTTCAGTTACAATTTTAGGTTTATCGACTTCATCATGTGCACTCACTTTATCGGTTTCATGATCACTTAACTTCCCAATCGATTTGTTGTCTTCTGCCAACACATCGGTTTTGCAATCTTCCTTATGCATCTCTACTGTAGATGTATTCACATTTTTATTAACTTGTTTAATTAATGCATTCTTCACGTCTGGGTTCGTGTTTTGATATTCTCCAGCATCTTTGTATGAAACTTTGAGATCCTTCGACTCAGAGGATGTGCAATTGTCGTTTTTATCTTCAAAAATATCAGCAAATAAATCATCAACAGCATGTGATTGCTCCTTAAGATCGACACAAATTTCAATACTTTGCTTGGCAACTGCATTTTCAAAGTTTTTTAAACTTTTGGGAACTTCTTCTAAGACTTCCTCCAAATCAGAGTCCGTATCTGTATCGATTTCAGTTACTTGTACGCATTCCTCATTTATGTGATCCGTCACTTCATCCACATTTTCTAATTTATCGTTAACAGTTGTAGCGTTAAATATGCCTTCCAAAATTTGCGTGTCACTTAATTGTGTCTTTTCCAAAATATTATCAACTTCATCCTCGTTCATGCCGCCGTATTCGATCATGTAGGCCCTCGCCGGTCCCTTAGCTGCATGACGCAATTGCTTACTTTGTTCGCGATTAAGCCTTAAATCCTGATCCGAATCATATTCGTAGTCCTTTTCGTCATACACTTTTTGAGTTTCTTCTAACGACAGCGCCATTGCCAATGCTAAATCAGAGTCATACTCGGTCATTGGTGGCTTATTCTCTGGTATGTTTTCCGTCTTATTCACAGCTTGCGCCGACGTGCATGGTAGTTCCTCGTCTTCATTTAAAATTTCTACCTTTGGCGGCTCTTTATCCTGCTCACTTTTTAATGTATTCTCCAACTTCGAATTTGCCAACTTCAAATTTTCCACCTTCGCATGTTCTACCTTCGTATTCTCCAGCTTTGTATTTTCCATCGCCTTTTTTTTAAGATCTCGTACAAGCAGAAAGCGCGTATGTTCATCTGAGCTAATTTGGCGCGTGTTCTGTTCAATTGCCGTGGGCGTTACAATGCCCTCATCATTGAAAAAATCGCATAGCTCAGCATAGGTGACCGTATGGCCGCCCATTTCCTGTTGTGCTTCCTCAAGACTCTCCTGCACTGCACGTCGTTTAAGCAGGCGCTTCATTTGAAAGGAGCAGAAATCATCGCTGCGAGCAGGCAGCTCATGCAGGCGACCCCATGAGGACTGTTTGCGTGTCTCCTTAATGTCTGTTAGTATTTCATGTCGTACATCAGCCGGTAAACTACGAAAATGTTGACTTCGCACATCAATAGCCTGCAAGCTTGAATTGTAAGCATGACGGGCAGTTGACTCATCGAACGAGCTATCTGAGGTAGTACTGGCATACTGATCAGAGGAGAAACTATTATTTACATCCGCCTCAACCTTATCCGTATCAGGCAGATCGGGTAACTTAAAAATGTCGTCATCGTCGTTTTTGACATTTTTGGTAGCCGGTCCACGCTTGACAGGTGACTTTAACAACAATTCTGCATTAGTGCCTAGAGCTTGTTGGACCACCTTCTCCTTAGCCAACGACTGCAACAGCAAGGCTTGGATACGATCGGCTTCATTACTAAGTTTACTGCGCTGTTGTTGGCGACGTGCCTATTGGAATGAAAGTAAATGTAACAGTCAATAAATATACTAATAAATAGTTCATCTCCATGCTACCTACAATAGTATCGCGCTTTAACTGTGGTACGCAACCATCGAATATAAAAACTGGACGCACACGATAGTATAGCAGTTTACACAGACGATGGAAAAGACCCAATAGATGAGCGTTATGCAATGCGGATCCTTTGCTGTCCTGAAAGCCCTTTATCACCTGATGCAGCCAAATTGATATATCTGCAAGTATTTAAAACAATTAATTAGTTGTTTCACAATCTGTGGAAATGTAAACCCACCCACAGCAAGAATTTTCCCTTCTAAAGTTTCAACAGGAACAGGCTTTCCACATGGCTCAATAAGTTTCCACAGGCCAGTAACACCCATTATTAGTTGTTAATAAAAACGTGGTAATAATACACATAAGTATTACATATAAATGTTCATGCAAATATAAAAAGACAAAACTGCATAACCGGCGTACTTTCAGCGTGAGAAGCAGAGATGAGCAATGTTTCGCTACTTTCAATGAAAATTTGTAGTGTCAACGCGAGAATCAGCGATGAGCAATGTTTCGATACTTTCAATAAAAGTATATGGTTGCCAAATTAGGATTTTGCGCCTCACTAAGGTTTTTCAAATGACGACCACGGAAAAATGATTTCTTAATTAAACATGATGAGTATATATACATGCCTATATATCTTACACATATTTTGTATGTAATGGCACTAACCATTCATTTCATACAACGAAAACGTCCCATCAAAATTGTGAGCGACAGCTCCCATAGCTGTTCGGGTATATGTTGTATGGTTAGTAGTAATGGCCATGTGCGCTAAGAATTAAAGCAGTACTTAAGCAGTGCTATGTAAGTGGTATGCTGTCATGAAAGCCATAAAATCTCTCGCCCGGCATCGACAATGTGCAAAAAACTTTGAAAAAGCAACCCAACTGATCTTCCGGATTCTCAAATACTCTTCATTTCGATATTTATTAATTTTGTCCAGCCATTTCGTTCTAGAATCAAACTGTAAGGCCTAGTTCAGTACCTTTTTTTGAAGACCGGGCCATTGAAATTGTGTTTGTCGGACCGATGGTGAGACAATAATCTAGCAAAAGCAACAACATACTGAAATATAGATTTCTATAACAAAAAAAAAAAGAAATGTAACAATTGCTGTCCTTATTTTTTGACCACACAGACTTTATTCATACCGACGTCCATATAAGTAGAATAACAAAATCATCGTCGTCGCAGTAAGTGTATTTAAGGTATCGCTCATCTCTAGAACTCAAATGTGAAAAATTATCTTAATGCTAGGTGTTACAAAAACAATCATGCTTATTCAAGTAAACTTTGAATTTAATACGTTATGGGGGTTTTATTATTTGCTGCCGTTTCTTTCATTATTCACTGGGAACCTCAGCAACTGCAGGGCCGCTGCTTATATCAGCATTAGCCTCCTTTTTGCTTGCCTTGCTCTCCTTTTTGTTTTTAACCATTTGACGATAGACTTCCAAATCTTGCTGCAGCGAAGGGACGAAACTTTCAAAGTCTAACTGGGTGAGGGTTTCCAGTATATCACGAGCAGTGATCGTCTTGTGGTTCTGCTGATGCGCCAAGGCCGTTGCGGATGAAGTCAAAAAAATCGCAAACACTGAAGCGGAGCGTGTTATGGCCGCACGGCCTTCCTTGCTCACATTCGCGCCGTCCGGTAGCGCATCTTTTATAAGGCGTGATATAACCGCATTCGGCAAGTTTAAATCTTCAATGCGTTCCACCATTTTTCAATAACTTATAAATGCGTTCAAAATTATTTATCTAGATCTCCCTGGTTTACAGATGCGATTCGCGAACTTATGCCCGCCTTAATGCAAACCAGAGCCAGTGTTGCACAACTGCTTTTTATTATTAGGGATGGGCGTGAGCGCTCATGATATTTGGGTTTTATAATATAGTACGATTTGTTGTGATTCTTTAATCGGTTTTAATTTCGTAAAATTTAGAAAATGTGACTAATTAAAAAAGCTACGATGTAAAAGAAAAACCTGAATCCCTTTTAAAAAAATGGTGCGTGAGTCGTTACTTACTTGAGAGCCATTCCCGTGACAATTAAAAGTGGCAAACTTTCATCTCTATTGTTGAACGCTGTATTTATTGAATTGTTGATCTAGCATATTTGGTAATATCTTACCAAAGAGCCCGCTTAAATGTGCAAGCAGCAGTTTGAATGTGACCTAAAACTATTCTTATCGAACCCCAAGTGATACAACCACGTGCGTGTGCCAAAACGGGCACGCGCACGCAGCACATGGAACATCAAGAGAAGCCGCAGTTGGAAACAGCCCGCAGTGCAACGCCGCCACCACAAAAGCGTAAACACTGCGAGTACCATGACCCCGATTATTATAACAATGTTTCATCGCCAGTACGACAACACTTATTGACGCCACCAATTACAGCTCCGGCTGAAAAGTATGTAAAGCTGGAGGAGGGTACTCTAGGCACTGGTTCAAATGCCCGCACGGATAGTACAGACCGTCCAAACCGTATGGCGGACATTTGTGAAATTGTACGCCGGGAGTTTCAAAAAGAATTGATTTTAAAGGAGCAACAGTTGGCAGAAATAGATGCGCGTCTCTTAAAGGCGCGTCAAATGCTCGATAAATTGCGCTATGAGGTGGTCAGCGAATACTATCGCAAGCAGGAAGTGTCGTTGACAGCAGGAGACGTACTAAAAGTGCGCGGTGACGATACACTATTTAGCAATGAACGTGCCGGCCCGCAACGTCCGCTGCATCCAGCTATTAAGAAGATTGTGGGTAAACGTCCCATTCCCGACCTCGCTGTGCCCGAACGCACAGCAGCGGTATTGGCAAAGGAGACCATACGCCTGCGAAATCCAGCTCATAGGAGAGCGGAGCGACGGCGACAGCAAAAAATACGTAAGCAGGGTATTGTGATCGATCATTCTCAAAATGGGCAGCAACAAGTGTTTCCAGCTCAGTTGCATATTAAATCGGAGTTAAATGATGACCAACCATGCACCAGCAAGCAGGCGCTGGAGCGTCAGCGAAGCCTAGATGTTTTAGAAACGGGTGTAACACCAGCCTTGAATGCATGTCGTCTTAACAATAAGCAAAAGTTTAGCTTTATAGTGGGAAACACCTCAAAATACATTGGTGCCGATTTGGGAATTGACGACACTAAGGTTGAAGGTGAACAAATATTGGCCTACAAATGGCTGGTCTATGTGCAGGGCAAGAATTTACCAGAGCCTGTTGATGCATACCTCAAGAAGGTGAGTATTTAAGAATCAATCCAACTCGACTATATCATTCGTTTCTTGTATAAGTTTTTGTAGTCTCTTTAGTTAAGATTCTTATATTCAGGTCATATAATTACATTTCTTAAACTACAACGAAAATAATCCCCATTGAATTTATCCTTGTTTAAAAAACTTCCCCAATTCATATTTTTTAGTGAAATGAAATCTCTGAAAATAGTTTCAACTCTTAAATTGCAGGTCCGGTTTCAACTGCATCACTCATATCGACCCAATGACATTGTGGATGTCCATACGCCTCCCTTCCAATTGTCACGAAGAGGCTGGGGCGAATTCCCCATTCGCATACAGCTTTACTTTCAAGAAAATCTGCAGCAAAAGCCTGTGCAGCTTATGCATACTATTGTGCTGGACAAGACTCGGTGCGGCCTGCATACCATGGGTGCTGAGACAACGGTTGAGGTTTGGTTGCGAGCCGCCCACACTCCAGGCACATCTAACATGATCACCAACCCTGAAGCTCCTCTATTGACGGACCAGGAGAACTGCAAACCTCGTACTATATCCATAACCCACAATAAGGAGGAGCTGGATGATAATCTTTTTGCTTGTTTAAGTAAAGCTGACCTGAGCGGTGATATTGAAAAAATTGAGCCTACAGTTGTTGTCTCCGAGCCCTTAACATGCAAGCTGAAGTTAGCAAGTCCACAAAACGATACACCGAAAATCAGTTTCAATGGTGCAACATCACAAGTATCGCGTCCCTCTGTTGTGTTTTTGCCTGTGAATGGAAGTGCTGATGAGTACAGCAACAGCAACAATGCAGAGTCTAAAGAACGCAAGCCAAACAAACATCTGCAGTTCTACAATAATGGTCATGGAATGAATAAAAAACCACTTAAAAATGTCTTCCAAAAGGCCGGAAAGCTTTACATTATCGATCCATTGCAATCTAAATTGAAGCAGGCGCAGCGACAACAGCAGTCGCTGCTAAAACCAAAGCCTAGTCTCCTAAAACCGTCGTCTTCGCCTCCTCCACCGCCGCAGCAGCTCTCCAAACATTGGCAAACACTGCAATCAATTCGCAATGATCATGGCTACGCAAACATGGCTCACATGAGTGTGGAAAGCATTCATGAGATAAGCAGCGGCCCATTTAAAACAAGTCGAGTTGAGGGCCAGGAGGGAGGTCCAAATAAGAGCTTACGCCTACAACAGCTATTTCTTGCTCTACCATTTGAAAGCATGCGTAGTGCCGTAGAATTTCTAATGCGTCGTTTGCCACTCGTAAGCAATTACAATGAATTTGCCTTTGTCAGCCCCACACTAGAAAGTTTCCAAAAACAGTCTGTGTTGCGTCAACGCTGCTTTGAATATTTGCGCGCCCGCTTAATCTTGAATTGCATGCGACAGCATATCCGATTAAAGCAATCGCATGCAACAATGCATGAGAAATATTGGAGTATCCGTGAGATTGTGAACTTTGCGCGCGTTCATGGGTATACCCCAGCCTTGAAGCAGTTTGCCATGAAAACATCGGAGCAGAAAGAACGGGAACATCAATTGTCGCAGCGTGTGCAGCAGCAATTAAAAGAGGAGCCCGAGCAACATGTGCTACCGTTCGCCAGTCTAACATCTAATGTGCGAATTACCAATTGGCTGACGCAGCAGTCAAAGCGTTGGCTTCACCATGCAAGTAAATTGTCTGAGGCACAGGAGCCCATCGATGTGGTTGGGGACGAAGAAGAAGCAAAGCCATGTAAATTGCAAAAATTACCTCCATCGTCTACCTGCAATTCAAATAATCGGCAACTGTTATATTTGCCGCCACCAGATAATTTGGAGAACGCCGCACAACTTGTTCATGACATGTGTAGAGATGTCGGCATTACTTTGGAAACAGAGCAAAGTGTTCCAGGTGTGGCACAGCCCTTGGCACTAACTTTGTTGGCACATGTGCTGCAGGTGTTTGTGGAAAAACTCGTGCGACGTTCGGTAGCCTCAAAGCTTCAAAAGCAGCATCAACTTCAGATGCAGCAGCAATGCAATACAATGAGTGCGCAGAAAGCTGTGCTGCCCTTGATGACAGTAGCCAACGTGGAGACCACATTGCTACCACACGACATTGGACGTGTAATTTCCCAGTGTGCTGACTTCGATTTTCTGGGCAACAGTAATCTCGGCGTGACGCATGTAGACTTGCAGTCGTAGCCAGAAAAGTCCTTTGTGCATTTGATTGCACGGCTTAACTGATAGTTCAAATTCCTCAGCTATTGTAACTAGTATTTAAGAAATATTTATTTTGTAAGACCGTACATACATACTATACGCTAAACTTAACATACATATTTATGAGATTCGTTTTTGGTACTACTGTCGAATTGTAGTCTACTGTGATCTATAGTAGAATATAAAATATGGGTTTCAGAATTTTTAATGTGTAAATAAACTAGTCTGAAAGTGTGAATGCATTTGGACGTTCATGTACTGGTACGAGTTTCATTAAATTACAATTTGTGCGATTACAATGCGTATACATGCACCAAAAGTGGAAGAGGCTCTACTAGAACGAATCTATGGGAAAATCCACACACATTGATATTACATATCAGCATGACGAACGTTTTGTTGAACTGCATCAACCATAATGCTGGCGATCCTTGGGAGCAAGTAATTTCACATGGTAGTCGACGTGAGTTGGTTGTCGTCCCAGTCTGGCACGTGATACTGCCAGATTGGAGGCGGTATTGGTATTGCTCAGTGGCTGACGTCGGAGCCACAAATTGATGCCGATCGAGATGATCAGGGTTACGTAGGAGCCAGGTGGAACTGGCTTTATTTCTTCAAGTAGTGCATTTGCCAGAATTGTGAGTTGTGCTTACTGCATCAACATGGTAACTTGGTCTGTCTTGGCGTTATTCGTAGTGACTGCTTACTAAACCTTGGTTGCCTTTCAGGTTCTGCTTGTCGATGGATACACAGCCCGAATCTGCTTCCAGTACATGTAACGTTAATGTATTGCATTCAGCTTTATTTATTTGCAAACCGTGGAGTGCACTATATTGTATCGTTACTTGCCTTCGGAGCGTTTCTTTTGTGTGATTTTGATCGTCCTTGATATGGGTATACCTTGAGCCCAGTGTTCAAAACAGCCCTTTGGTAATGTTTAAATAAATCCCTTGTTCGGATCTGCGTTGCCTGCCTCCTTTTATAGGTAGGTACCTATCGTGTGCCGCACCTGGATTTTATTTTTTTGATGTTCCTCCCCTTTCCCCGCTACAGAATTTCCTCATTGATGAACACGTTATCTATATACAATTATCGACTTTTGTTCAAAATTTGACCCAAATCAGTAAATCCGCAGAAAAGTTATCGAAACAATTTCACTCCAGTACTACGCTCACAAGCTGCAGCATCAAGTTCGTTTTTCTTCTTCGTTTTACTTCTGCTAGGGTGGGAGGGTTTTTTTTGCTGTCGGGCTTGCTCGGATTTTATATGGTTGTGCTGAGGCACTTCACAAAACACATACGTACAGATGCCTAATTTTGTTAAGATATCTTTAAAAAAGCACGTACTTTATTCTACTACCAAGTTAGTTGTATCTATGGGTAGCTCTTGTGGTTAAAATGTTCTCCGCGTTTATACGTACGATCAGGGGACATATCTACATCAAATTATATTAACCATGACGCCTCCTCCTATCTAAATACAAATTTATTGGGTATATTATTATATAAAAACAAATAATTGGGATGATTTGTAAGTAAAAATACATTTATTTCTTTTTGTGGTTTTGTGATGGTTTGGTTTAACAATAAACTATTTAACTAAATTTCTTGCTTAATGCTTCACTAACATAATGAAAACTTTAAATTGATTTAAAAACTTTATACAATTCAGAATGAAATATAGGACGAATACTTCAGTGCATACAAAAACTAGAACGTCTAATGTACAATTCTGTCTTCAAAAAAGGTTATAATGGTTTGCTCCTTAGTTAAAGTGAATACGAAATCCAATGCTTATATATAAAAACGTAATAAAATTGTACAACTTAATAAAAAAATTTTTTTTGTCGTGTATATAAATATTTTGTTTTCATGAGTGTAGAATCACAGCCTTTTAATAAACTAACACTAATGATCTTGGTGTGTTAGAATTTTCAAGTATTTTAAGTATTTTAAGTTGAATAACAAATTTATAATGGCTTTTCTTCTTAGTTTCTAAATTAAATCAATATTCAGATGCTGGTTTGATTTTGATATTACAGTAGGATGCATTATATATTTTTCTTTCGGGATAGTTGGCTATCAGGCACATTGACGTAGCCAACATTTGTGGCAGAAGGAAAGGAAGGGTTGTAAAAAATGATTTAAAAACATATAACTTTACAATTCCTGTAATTTTTCCTCAAATACCATCGTTCTTCCTCACCCATAGTCTAGGATTTTGGGAAAGCTTATACAAAAATAGCTTTAGTAACTTAATGAACACTGCTTTATTTTTTAAAGAGCAAATCAATAGTCATACATCGATCTAAATATTTATTTCTAATATACTTTCTACTTATTTGAAAATAATAAAAATAAGTTACAAATGTTTTGCGCAAAAACAAAAAAAAGAGGTTTGAATCGACTTATTTGCGGCAATTCTGGCAAAAAAGTTAATCCAAGTATAAATAGTGGAGTTGTGGGATTATTGTTATTGTTAGACTCATTGCAATCAAGGCAAGGTGTTACAGCATTTAAACTAACTTATTATTTTGTAATTAACAATAAATAGCTACGTTTTAGTTGTTGCAGACTGTCCTAACAATCCACGATTTAGCTAGCCGCGATGCATTGAACTATTTTTTTATACAAATTTATGAAGATATAAGTTACAAACAACGCAGGTTAAAACAAAACCTAAATACCATATACATAATGGATAATCTAATTAACTAATGTAATTGGGTGTCAAAGGCCACAAATTTATATTGAAAGCACATTTGTGTTGTGTGATTTGTGTGTTATATATTTGGCGCTGGATCAGGTAATCGTTGTTATAATCTGATTCTTAGACCCATAATCGGTGATTCTGTAAGTAGATCTACATTAATACACGACGGAAGCAAGCGTGGCAAGTACTTTAAGCCAAAAATCAACGCAATTTTAAATAAAAAGACACATTAATAACGTAAACAAAATATGTTATGTGTGCACTCACATACGTACAGTGCAAAACTAAAATCATTCATAATGGAAATCATTGAACGTGCAAAAGAGAAAAAGGAAGCAAATCTGACCATTGGTGGTTCTCTACGTATATATTTTGTGCCTTTTTACCTATAAATTGATGATGCTGACGTTGATCGGGACCAAGTAACTAACAAACCCTCACCTCTGCTGCTTTCGCGTTTACTTTGCAGTATGACTTTGGTGCTGTCATCAGGAAATATAGATGTGCGCACAGTGGTTAGGAGAAGGCTGCAAAAATGCAAAAAAAAAGTGTTTAATATTGAAGGAAGGCCGCTTGGAGGCAGTGATACGCACCGTGGCAGGACGGCTACAACTGTGGACAACAATATGACTAGCCAGTGCACTGCAGAGCCGAAACACATGAAGATTACCCAGTATGTTGAAGGCAGGCCAAAGCAATTGACGCACATTGAATTGTACACAATGGAGAACAAATAGAAGGATAATAAGCTAATCACTATGGATATGATATGCAGCACCGTCTGAAGTAGGAAAGAGAAATAGAAAAATTGATATGAATATGAATTGATTTGGATTGTCAGCAACAAAGTTGCATATATTTACTTACCCAGGAACGTATTTCAATCGCACCGTGCGCCAGATTGACGAACAAACAGGACGCCGTTATCGTTGTGCCAAATTCCCAAATGCCCACATCACTCTCCGAGTAAGCGCACAGCGCAACGAAAAAGATTACTAGACTTTGGTAAAGGGCATCTAAGAGAATCATCCAAAAATCGTGGGGTCTATAGACAAGGCCTAGGCGACCCTGCAATGTAAATATTGTAACAAATTAAGAGTGGAATTAGAGTTATGTTGTTGCGAATTGATGTTCTGTTGTGCATCCAACAACTTACATGTTTATAAAGATACGGATTCTTCAAAAGCAAATCTTCAGGCACGCGTTTATCATAGACACCAATAGCCAAAGGAGGCAGTGACGTGAATATCAAATTGTACAGCATTAAATACATCTGGTCCATCATAACAGAGCCAGAAAAGCCACAATACAATTGATACCAAAATATCAGAAAAACAAAGGCCTGCAATTATAAAATGCAGATAAAATGTAAACTATCTTCTCATTGGAGTTGTTGCTTTTAATTTGTATTCGAACAACTTTGCTCGATAACGTATGAGAGAAGCTTAAAATTATGAACCTACAGCATTTTTGTAGAAGAAATACAGAATCATGCGCGCCAATCGATCGTAGCACCAATAACCGTGTGAGAGCAGCAAACGCTCCAGATAGCGGAAACGTGAGAGCGTAAAATCAGCCGCCATCACAGCTTGCATCCCTTCTTGGCCAGAAATGCCAACGCCTACATCGGCCATTTGTATCATGGAAACATCATTCGCTCCATCACCAATGGCCAGAGTGCGCAAGTTCAACTCCTCCTTGACCACCTTAACCAGATAGGCTTTTTGTAGAGGTGTGGAACGACAGCAGAGAACAGAGGCGCAGCTTTTGGCAAGCTTGAGAAATGGACGAATCAATTTTGATCTGCAAAGAAACAAGACTATGTGCATAACTAGAAAAAAGTATGTATTTGCAAAACTCACTTGGGATCTAGAATGAAAGTCAGTGTCTTGCCATCCACCACCAGAGCGCGTTGTTTGTTATGCGACTCCAAATGATAGGCAGAGGACCTTTTGTCGCTGTTCCTATCATTTAAATAGAAATTAATGGCGGACTCAGCTGCATCACGGGAACGAGCCGAAAGTCTGAGGAAATAAGACATATAAGTGTGTGTCGCGCAGTCTATTTTTTAGGAAAAAGCTATTTACTTGACCAACTCCATCTGCTGCGTGAAGAGCTTGGCTGAGTAAGCTATGTTAATCGCCGTCTCAGGTTTGTCCCCAGTTAGCACCCACACAGATATGCCTGCGGACAGAAGCGAAGCTATGGTCTCTGGGACACCATCCTGTAGACGATCTTCAATGCCCGTGGCGCCCAAGAGCGTTAAATTGCTCTCTAGTGTGGCAAACGAGTCGCGTAAACGCCGTTCACGATTCTCCAGCGACATTTCTATCTCCTGATGGCGTGCCCACCAGTCTGTGTAGTCCGCGGCGTTCAAATTGCGCTTAGCCATTACAAGAATGCGAAGGCCCTCCCTTGCATACCGATCGAGCTGTTGTTGGGTTTGCTCGCGAAGAAGTTCTGCGGGAAAATTAAGAATAACATTTTAATTTGTATTTATACATATTTTTATCGCTTTTTTATAAAATGCATTAAGTGGACTGCAGATAGGACTGACACAGAAACCTGCACGCTGCTAGCTGTTTGTGTACTTATTCCGTATACACTCACCGCCCCCTAAACAGAAGCCTTCACCGTAAAATACATCAGATCGGACTCAGAGACGACAAGTGCAAATTTTTCGTAATCAAATTAAACGTAGTGTTGAAATAATTAGTGCAGAAGCATGAAACTCAAACGTAACCTCCTAAAAACGGTTATGGGATTAATATAATAGTGATACTAATGATGACTCTACAAAGTAATAGAGCGGAACTGGGTTTGGCTGAAGAAATAGAATACATTATGAAAATGTAAAATGTATACATACAATGAATCACGGTTTATAATATTTATCCGAATGAGAACATAACACGATCGGCCTATCCCATATACTATACATGTCATAGAAACAATATGACAACGGTTTTAAAGAAAAGATCTAGGATCCAATTTGCATATTGATTTGTAGTCAAAGATCTGATTTCTATTAAAATACACCACCTGCAAAATGTGTATTGGTTGCACCCATTGGGATGAGCAATGTGTCAATAAAAATGTATTCATTTTAAGAAGATGTTTACATTACATATCCTATCAAATTTTGAATTATTTATGGGAATGCTGATGTTGAAATACATAAAGTTGTATATGCTTTTTATTTGTTTTCGCACTCAGATAGTTTATAGACAATTTTAAGTACGAGATTTTGTTTACTTAAGATTTGGCGCATGAAAATTTTACCTTCGGGGCTGTTTTGCGCACAAGGCGCCAGTGCTGGCATTATGGAACTATCTGCGCCTTTTGTATACAACACTATTTCCTGGGTGCCTGTGCGCCGCACCACAATTGACATGCATTTGCGACTAGAATCAAATGGAAGAACCTTGAGTATATCGTACTCGACGCTAACGCTGGCATGCGGCATGTTGACTAAAATGTGGTTGGGACTGCGATTAAGTAGACAACAGTCGTAGCTGTACGCAGCGTTAACCAATGCCAGCTCATCGGGACTTTCGGCCTCGTAAAGCGGTCGTCCATCGGCGGTCCTATAAATGTTCTGTGCTTTGGCTTGACTGCAAATGAAACGGGAAATGGGCTGTTAATACCTATAAAGCTGGAGTAATGAATGCATATATAAATACTTGATTTTCAGTCGTTTCCCTTGTGTTTTGTTATTTAGGAATGTGGCTATACTGGAGAACTTGGAATTAATAGCTGCTTTAGCCCTTCCGGTCGGTGAAATGCTGTTCATCATGGCCTTGCTCTTCATCGGTGGCGATGGTGATTCCGAGTTCGGTGTAGACTCGGTGGAACTGCTGATCGGCGAGAGTGTGGGCTGATGGTTCTGTGTGGGCATGGCGAAGATCAAGTTTGGCGGCGGAGATGGTGTCACAGACCGTGATTCAGAGAGACGCATGTATCGGTCAACAGGTATGGATGCAATGTGATTGGGTTGCGGTGTGCTTGTGTTGTTACTGCTATTCAGATTCGCCACCTGACTCCGGGATACAGTCTTCACATGCTTGAGAATGCCGGGACTGTTGCCGCTCTGCTGCACTTCGATGATGCCGCTGGCATTCATAAGATCTCGATGAGGAGCCGCGCTTACAATTACCGTATTGCATATGGCCAGAACCATGAGGAATTCATGTATGCGCTGTGCATGCGGGGACAGGTAGCCTCCTGTCAAATGAGCCATGTCATTCTGAAGTGCATTGTTTGGCACCAAGGGTGGCGCTGGGGCGCCAGGTTTTGTATAAACCTTCTCCAGCTCCGAGGGGGGATGATTGTAGTCCGCGCCATTAACCACACAATGGCGAAAGATCATTTTGTTTTCGGTCAGTGTTCCGGTCTTATCCGAAAAAATGTGTTGGATTTGACCAAGCTCTTCGGTAATATTCATTGCACGGCACTCGGTTTGCTTGTTCGTGTCATTATCGTACAAATCGATGTTATTGTGTATATGATATACCTGTAGTATTTTGCAAAGCTCGATGGTCACATAGAGGGAGAGCGGGATCATTACTTGTAGTATGATAATGTACGTCCAAAACGTAAGCATGCCCTCGTAGGCAGCATTAACCGGAAACGGCAAATAAGGTACTGGAAAATTTACAAAGGAGCCTAGCCACATCGTGCAGCCGATGGCACCAACAACGCATAATATCAATAATATTATCACACACCTGTAAAGACACATACATAGGAGATGACATAAAACTATTGCAAGTAAGAAGTGCAAGAGCCGAGTGTGATTCCAAATGCGAAATGCTATATGTATAGGATGGTGAGCTACCAAAGTATTTCCTATGCTTACCATATCACATCTATATTCATTTGCTGTTCCACCTGGGAGCGTTTATATCTTGGACCACTATTATTCAACATTGACTTCGTTTCATGTCCCGCATATACAACAATGCCTTCAATGTAGTCAGTATTCTGAAAGAAAACAGATTATACAAGTATTAAACCTATTTCATCAACCCACTCACACATTCTTCTCACCTTAAGTCTGCTTTCTCTTAACAAAAGACACTCCGTAGATATGGGCACGCGCTCCCCAGATGGATGTATTAAGGCCCCATGGAATCTATATAGTTTTGTTGTTGGCGCATCCGCTTCCACGCGACTCGTAAATTTGCTAGGCAAAAAAATGCTCTGCATTTCCGCAAAGCCACGTACAACCTGCAATGTATGCGGCATTAAAGAATCGCAATGCCAGCACGTAGTCACATATAGATAGAAACAGCCATATGGACAAATGACATACCTCGCGTCGTTTTAAATTGGTTTCGCCATCCAAATCGCATGTGTCTATGTAACAGACCCCATGTGTCTCACTCGTGCGTAACAGCAAAATATCAGCAGGTACGGTCTCGTTATTAGATAAATGAACTATGTCCCCAACCCGCAAATCCTGCCACTTGGTTCTCTTATAGCGCTCCGTTTCCCTGTAAGACGAAAACATACCGGGAGTGTTACAAAACTTACTTTTCAATTCTTAGTCTAAAGTCTTAAATCTGAAAACATAACGCTTTGTGGGGCGACTCTTTGAGAAGCCCATTCTGATCTAAAAGTACTAATATACCAATAAGTAATGAGTAGTGCCATTACCAATAAGTAAAACATGATATGAGCTGACTTTTGAATTGTAGTAATTGATGGTTTCGGATTTTGGATGTGGATCTGGCAGTGGGCAATAATCGTTCTGCAGCCAGGTGCGGTGCAATTTCAGTCTCAAGAAGTAGATAGTGCTTGTCAAACGTCAGCTGTCGAAGTGTGTTGGCCTTCCTACTACTGAGTATAGTAATTGCTATCAGCTGTATCGGGCCTGTATTTAATTATTTACTATATGAAATGATTTCTGACACCACAAACACAGTAGCGTGCTAGTCGCTACGTGACCAACGGGAAGCATTTCAGCATTCGCACCAAGACAAATGTTTTTCCATTTGACTGTTCACGAAGAGATCGACGTTTGCGTGAGTTTTCGTTGTTGGTTGGTAAATAATTTAACAATCAACGTGCTCATCGTGCTCATCGTGCTCAGTTAAGGGCCCCTATATTTTGCATTTTTAAAAAACAAGCAGAGTCAAATACAACACACATACGTTGATGAATAGCGTGCGTGCGCGACTTTTTATATCCTGTACTCGGTCCCGTATTACTTCAATTTAGTTTTGAGTTTTTAAAATTCTAAATATTTTTTGGATGTTTTGTTAAGACTTAAATCTAACAAAATATATGCCCATATAAAGTATATGGTCGTAAAGTAATAATCAAAACGCTATCGTAGTATGTGTGGTCTTTGTAGTACCCTATGGAAAGTTAGCAACAAAAATGAGTGAACATGGACGTAGGCTACTTATCTGGCTATAAATTAAAAGGTTTTAAAGTTGTATTATTAAAATATAGCTTGGTTTTCTTCGCCATAGTCTCGAGCTGAAATCAACCAATCGTACATTTTGAGGCATTTTAAAAACATACTTGTAGAACCACCATGCTTGGCTAGCATCTTAATCAATACAAATGTTATTCTACAGTGTTAGTTTTCAGCCGATCTGATCTATGGCATCTTTATAAAATATTACATACACCCTGCATGTGGTTGCAATAATCTTGGTCCGTATATGGATAAGACTAGTCTACATGCCGCGTTTGATGTCATTTACTGTAATGGTTCAAAGGTTCTTGGAATATATCGAATCAATATAGATTGATGGTCGGACATGTTTATACAAGTATAGATTCGTCTCGGCAATTGGGGTTTGGAGTTTCTAGTATGCACTAAAATCTTAATACTGAAGTAAAAAGATCAAACGAATATATGTACTTAGAAAATGAAGATTTCATCGTTACTGCAAATGGGCAAACGATGTAGAGCTGACATTGAATATCAATCTTAACCCAGCTTACAAACAACATTGGCCAATTAAAATATTGCAGTAACATGCAAGAGCTGCAACAACAAAGCAGCTACAATAACAGACAGATGACGGCCACGTTGACAGACATACATAAATTTAAATACAATTATATAGAAACGGTTGCCAACGATTGCTCATGTATGTAATTGTGTTAGAACGTGCAATCTTCCTAATGACCCAATTAAAATGATGGCAAAGCTTTCACCGGACAAGAAAAGCGCAAACCCGTATATATTTTAACGTGCGCCCCATGTTGACAAAATGTCAAGGCATATGCGCTCGCGCCCTTCCGGCCAGGCCAACAGCACCAATCAGGTAGAAAGTAAACAAAGCCGCGGACATAACATGACCACCAACGCGCACACGAGCAGTCCTACGAGACAGGGTTATGTCGGTCGTTGGGCTACCACCCGATGTTTCTTGTTATGCCTTGACACGCAAGATACACCATTAAAAAAAAGACCATAACAATTTGCGCAAAAAGGCAACAAATGAACTTGAATAAAATGGAATTACCACTGTGTGCCCGTGACTTTTTTCATAAATATCTAAGCAGTATCTGTGGCGACGATGACTCAGAAGTTTCCAGACACGGACAGGCACGTTCAAAGGAAATTCAAAAGGGTGTGCTAATGGGGAGCTAAGCTATAGTGTTTTTAATTGATTGCAGTAACAATTAGGTGATACCGATTTAAAGAATCACGAAGGCTGAGTTACTAAGTAACTCTGAAATAGGTATGATTTTATCATTGATCTATTGGCATTGATGTTACCATTAATATCTATTCGCAACTATTAAATGGGCGCGCCAAGATCTGTGCATCCAAACACATAGTCAATCCGGAGAAGTGTAGTTGGTAATCTAATCTGTACCAATTGGAGCCCCTTATGCTCTCAAATTTTTCCGTTCTATAATATAGGTTATTCATACTTATAAGACAAGTGAATGATTCTTTTGATGCAACCCTCTTTCTACTTTATTAAATTCTTCGCTTTCAATTTACAGTAAAAGTTTCATCATTTCAGGACAAATAAATAATGAAATGCGCGATGATTTAATATCAAAAGCTTTTGAACGATTTGTAAAAGTTGATTACAGGAAGCGGTTCTACTTTTATACAAGTATGTAATTCTAATTCTTATAATTTTCCTCGTGCCTTGTTCGTATATTAAATGACTTACACATTTATAAATTGGCTTAATTGTATTAAAAACAAGGAAGGAATGCAAAAGTCGAGCAGGCTCAACTCTTAAATACCCTGTCATACGGACTCGTTATCACTAACTGGAGGTATGTATATACAAAATTCCAATAATTATGGAGTTACGGAAAAAACACGAATTGCGGGGCAGTGGGGGTGTATCAGAAAAAAACACCAACTCGTCCTTTCTCGGACTTAGGAGAATCTGGTTACCAAGTTTGGTTATTCTTGCTCTTGTACTTGCTGAGATCCTTGCGTTCATGCAGACGGACGGACAGACGAACATGGCTATATCGACTCGACTTGTCATCCTGATCAAGAATATATATACTTTGTGGGGTCTGCCACGCTTCCTTCTGCGTGTTGCATACATTCGCACAAAACTAGTATAGCTTTTTAACCTTTGGGTACAGGCTATAAAAACTAAAGCATGCCTTTCCTGGAATCTTTATGAATCTACATAGAATTTGGACGTTCCTTAATAGCATAGCAACAACTGAACCATTATAAACACAATTCCCTTCAGTGTACGAGTATCGAACTGAGCAAGTAACCCACATTGTTTGGGGCTCTATTAATGAGAAAAGAACCGCCTATAATAGAACAAGGGGGTGAACATGCGTATTTACATAGTGTGTGGAGACCTTGGCATAATTTGATTCATGTTTATTAGACGTATACGTTCGCACATACACACAAATAATGTATCGGCTTAACAGCTACAAACTGTTTTATTTCAACATAAAGCGTTACCATGGTCCCTGTGGTCCCTGTGGTGGCCAAAGCACCCGCATAATCTACTCGTATGACGCCGACTGTTACTCGTATTTTATAAAGATTGTTGCACGTTTGTTCAGCTGCACTGATCGAATTAAGCAATACCCAACCATATAATCGGTGTAGTACTGATAATCTGATAAGTATCTGAAGTCTGGAACTCAAGTACCAACATTATTATTTTCCCATATGTGCAGCTAAATAACGGATCGGATACAAACAAGAGAGAACGCTACAGTCGAGTAAGCCCGACAGTGAAATACCCTGTACCCAGCCAAACTTCCGGCACTTACTATATTACAATATGCGCCCCTAGCAGGAGCAATAAGAAGAGCGAACTCGTTTCTCTAATGACTTTTCTTAGAATTACCGGTTTGGATGAAATTTAAGAAAAAATAGGTAATAGATAGATTACGTGTGCCAAGTATGTAGGTTAAAAAATGTGGACAGTATTGACGAAATTCTGTAGCAGGGGAGGGCAGGGAAAATTAAAAATCTCTCGTCATGCTGATCAAGAATATATATTAATTATCGGAAATGATTCCTTCTGCATGTTACATACTCTTTACAAACCTAATATGCCCTTTTTACCCTACGGGTGCAGGGTATAAAAAAAATCTTCTTCCATAGGGACTAGGAAGAATATACAAAAAAAATTTAATCAATGTTTCTAAAGTTTATGCGTTTTCATCATAGGAAATCTATGCAGTTACAAAATGCGAAATGGGATCTAAGGAGATATACCCAGACCAAATAAAAGGACCCCGTTGTTTTTTTTACACAGGTTAGGTTTGTAACACCCAGAAGAAGGAATAGCAGACCATATATTATAGTAGATCATATATATAGAACATACACAATACGATAGGATCTTATGCATATGATGAAATGATTTGTTTTGAAAAATATGGTAGAACATACACAATATAGATTGGCGTATTGACATAAAAAAGTATGCCTGTTAATGTAAACGGATCTGCGACTCTCTACCTACATAATTTCGTCAATACTGTCCACAATGCCGAAGCGACAATCTAAATTTTGCACCCGTAAATAATATGTTATTATCTACCTCTATTTTATTCCGTCAAAATCGTTTGTTGGGTGCAGGTTATTTCATTCCCGAACTGCGTTGACCGTACTGTTCTCCCTTGTTTTAATAAACATGTAATTTGTATCCAAGCTTTGCGAATATTTTGTAATAGTGATTTTAATTTATTCTTTTTATACCATATATCCAAAAGTTAAAGGGCATTATCGTTATAAGATCGTTCAGCTTTTGTAACAACCAGAAGAAGACCGAGAAGACTCCAAAAGTATATAAATATTATTGATCAGCGTGACAAAACGAGGGTCCCAAAGGTATGCCCAGAGAGTGATCAATTTTGGTATGATTCCACATAAGTCTGTGGAAATCAAGCCGCTGTTTTTTCGAATAGTTATAACTATCAATAGACTTTCGATTACGAGTGGTGATAAGACCACAACCCCAGTAAACCTGAACGAAGTAATCATTATAATAAATGTTGAGCTTGCCAGTAAGGA